CAGAGAAAAGTACCCTGCCCTCAAAGCAGGTCCTATATACACCCACCCTATACTTCAGGTCTAATCATGCCCATAACCCAGTGAAGGACTTCCACATAAAACATCAAGAACACCGGCATGTGCTTCACTCTCAGATAGAAACTGGGGATGAAGAACCACAAGGTCTCACCAAAAGGAGCCAAAGGAAAGAGTCCTGCAGCAGTAGGACTGTCCTGTTTTGGCTACAGATCGTGGAGCCCGTAGCATAGTAAGGTTTCAGCACAGAATACTGAAGGCCACAGTATTCAGAGTGAGATCCTTTGCCTAATTAACCACAACATCAATGCTAAATTTAACAGTGAGTACAACAGTGAGCTCTTTCCTTCTCCCAGTGCACTCGCTGGAAATCAAACAGAAGCATTTGGATCAAGGATACTGGCAGATGATCACCACTGCCAGATGTGCTCTCGTGCACTGATAAAGGCATTTCCTTAAGGCTTGTACTAATGCAGTATGCCAGCATAATAAAACATTGATAGAAAAAAATGCATTTACCAGAAACAGCCATAGTATCACTGATCCATGCAATTGAAAATATCCAGTCCTTATGTCCATCCTAAAAGGAAAAGAAAAAAAAGTCAGACTTGCTGTGCCATTATATTCAGAGACATATTCTTCATTTTCCAGGTTAGTACAAGCACAAAAAAAAAAAAAAAAAAAAACCAGACCTGCATTAAAAATATCATACAGGTAAAATTCCAGTATGAAGCTGGAGTAGCTCACATATCCAACACCAATTTTAAATTTATTTTCATAAAGCTAAACATACAATTAACAGTTAGAGAGCAAGTAAGTCATAGAAAAACGGACCTCGAACCAAAGCCAAACTGATCTCAAATGTATGGACTTAGATTTCATTTTCAAAAGCAGTGTTCCTTACCTTCACAAAATAGATATTTCCTAAAACACATCTCCCTGCTACAGATAATAAACTAAAACTAATCTTACTAAAACTGTTTACAATATATGAATAATTTTTCAAGACTATTAATTCAAGAATCTTCTATTTAGTATGTAAAGAAACCAGAGGGAGGAAAAGTCTCCAAGCCTTTAGTTATGTTTGAAAAATCTGCAAAGTCACAGCAGCATGTAAGCGAATAGCAAGTCATAAAAATCTTCACAGCCAGCTGCAGGAAGGCTTCACTATGTGCTACAGCTGAAACTCTGACCTTTGCTGTTGTGATGAAGTCCTTATTCAAAAGGAAGGAGAAATGACAGAAGGACTAACAGGACATCACTGCACTCATTTCAGCCTTTTTCTTTTCAAGAATGGATATTTTAAAAAAGCATGATGACATTTCAGAAATAGATTCTGGTACAGCTTACATCAAAGTGCCATAAGCCACAGAGTTGGAATTAATCCTCAAAGCCAAGTTCTGCTTCTGGAATAACGCATATGTAAGCTGCATTGGAAAAGGAAACACTTTAACAACGTGCATCATCTTTCCAGCTTCAAGAGCTTTTTTGCTAACAGTTTTGTGCGTCAGTTTCAATCTTCATCATCATAATTGAAATGACACTTTAGATTTTGTTACAATTTCAATGCTTAAAAGTGATCTGAAGTGGACCTGAATGAAGGCAAGGAAAAGGAAATCAGAACTACCTCACATGTTTAAGATACTTCATTAAAGCAAAAAAAAGACTACATCAGTAGTGCTTTGAAGCTTTCAAAAATTCAGAAATTTTTCACTCTTCACTACAAAACTCAGAAGTCTTAACCTTGCCTCTGACTGGCACTTCTAAGACAAAATTCTTACAAGTAACAATAAATTTTCCCAACTATTGCCACTTACATCTCCGACACAGACAGGATCAAGTGTAGGCAGACGATAAATTGCAAGACTGTTGGGGTTGTCGCCACCTGTAGCCAGAAGGGTTCTTGAGGGGTTGAGTTCAATGGCGTGAATCCCACAGCCCTGCTGGTTCACCATGCCAGGCTCACGGTCTTTCAGAATAGGAATCTTGGTAATTTGACCAGTCTGGACATCTACCACAAATAACTGGAAAAGAAAAGAAGAGTACGTAAGTCACCATTAAACAAAGATCAAGAAAACAAAGCATTCAAAGACATTTGGTTTCGATAACTCTTTCCTCTTTTTTCTCCCGAGGCTGAAATCCACAAATGCTGCAAGTGTGGCTGGAAAAACATGTACAAACTGCTACTTAAAAGAAATAAAACCCACTTTAACTAAATTGGTTTATTTCAACAATACTACTTGGTTTGCAGAGCAACGGAACAGAAAGAGAAATCTTACATAGAAGGCTTCTCAAATAACCAAACACTCAGTCTAAAATGTATTACCTGTTCAATACTTTGAGAAAACAAAATTGTTCTCAAGTTACTCTTAACAAGTGAGAAAGATAGATCCACCTCAAAGCAGTCAGTAAGCCCAAGGGCACTTAGAACAAGTCTGTGGCTGCACAGATAAGGGTACACAGCACTGCCAGAGTGAACAGCTATGCTCATCAGCTGGCAAAAATAAAAGTTCTATGTCAGTGTTACTCTTCCTTTGGCAGAAAAAAAAAAAAAAGCAACAACAATTATGAAGTCCTGCAACTCTTCACCCATCACTGAACACTGAGTTATGTCAGTTCAAACATACAACTGTAAAGTTTGCTTATAGTTTACTATAATGGTAAACTATAGTTTAAACTACAATTATAGCAAAGTATGGTTTACATTGTCCAACAAAGTCTAACTTCATTCACACTGGATCACTTCGTAAGTGTCCAGAGTGCAGCTGCTCCAACAGACAAACTGATTTAACTGAAAAGAACCACGCAGCACAGGCTAACAATCTTCAGTTTCCAGGAGAAAAATGTGCCAAATGAGCAGTTTATAAATGCTTAGCTAATGACAATAGGCAACTTCTGTCAAGAATGTTTTGTGTCAACAGAATTTCTGTCATTAGAGAGGTCACATCTGGAGCACTGTGCCCAGTTCTGGGCTCCCCAGCTCAAGAAACACAGGGAGCTACTCAGAGAGACCAGCAGAGGGCCACAGAGGTGGCTGTGGGCCTGGAGCACCTCCTGTATGAGGAACAGCTGAAAGAGATAGGACTGTTCTGCCTGGAGAAGAAGGGACTGAGAGGAGATCTTACCAACACTTGGAAATATCTAAAGAGTACCAGTCAAGTGAATGTGGCTGGGCTCCTTTTTTTGTGGTACCCAGCAACAAGACAAGGCGGAATGGGCACAAACTTCAACACAGGAAGTTCAGTATGAACACGACAACAAAGTCCTTTACTTCGAAGGTGACAGAGCACCCGCATGCCTTCCTCTGCAATCTCATGTAGGAAACCTGCTTTAGCAGGGCGTAGGACATAACGATCTCCAGAGGTCTCTTTCAACACCTGTGAATGCGTGATACTGTGGGAAACACAAACGACAGAAAAGAAAACGGAATATCACAGAGCATACCTGGCTCCAAGAAAAGTGTACAATTGCAAATCGGGATTATTGAAGAGTTTGGTTCCCTCAAAGTCTGTTCAAGTATCATGTTACTCATTCCATCAATATATCATTGTCGTGTTCTATGTAGACTTACGCCAACTTCAACCCACAACTCACTCTCCTTTGTAGTCATCAGTCTTGCACAGAGATCACAGCTCCTACAATTGCTGAATCTTCACCTTCAGTTCTTTATTCTGTATGCAGACGCAGGGGGTGACGGAACAGCTGAAGTGCAGCTGAGCAGGCAGAGGTGGAGGACACTTCTCACTCCCCTCAGTGCAGTTGAGCGTCCAAACCTACTCATGAACACTCAGCATACAGAGCAGCCCTAACTTCATCCCTGGAAACTAGTTGTCCTGTTCCTGCAGTGTAGGCATTAATTTCTTCTCCTCTCATCTCTTTCTTCAATGTTTTCTTTCAACGGAAGATCTCAATACTTCCCCCTGCCCTCCTTCTACAGTTCCTGGTGTCACTTGCAGGTCCTAACGCTGGCACCAAAATTGATCATTAGGAAAACACACATCCACATTTCAGGATGCCCACAGATTCTCAAAAATCATGTTTCAGCAATTAGAGACGCACAGCTCAAATGGCACCTCAATAGATAGGAGGACTGAAATTAAAAACCTTCCATGTTCTCCAATCTGACACCCCTGTCACACATCTGTGCCTGATACTAGGTTAATAAATAAATAAAAATACTTAGCCTAATGTGAAACTCCTTTCATAAAGCTAAACTGTAAACTAATCAATTAGTCAAAGAACTTGGAAACATACAATACTGAAGTATCACAGACCCTAAACTCACACTGAGTTAAGGGGCAGGCTTTGAAGGTTCAGCTGTAGAGTCTGAAGCAGGAACTACTGCACATAGGAAAAAACAGAACATAATGCAGGCAAACTAAAAGCACAATCCCGGAGTAAAATAAACAAGCACTACCCGCTCACATCATGACTTTTGCATCATCTGGGACAGCACAGGAAGATAGAAGTTCACACTTACAAGTAGAACCATGAAACGTCAAGAAATCTTCCCTGTAAATTCAGCATGCAGAAACAGCTGTTCCTAGCACTTCTGCCTTTTGGGCTTTAAAGCATTCTAACAAAATAGGCATCCAGCTAAGAATGTTGACAACTGAACACGGTTTTATGAGTTTTAAAGACACTACAGTAAATAAAGTGTAAAATATCTGACTGTTTATAAACAAGTTCAGCCATAACTCCAGCATGTAGTTAAATAAATCTGAAGAAAACAGAGTTTATCCTACTTTTCCCAAGAAAACTGGTATTGTTGCTACTGTTGAAATAAGTACAACTGAAAATTGCTCCCAAGCAGTCTAGACTCTTTAAGAGTCTTGACAAAGGCATGATAGCTGTATTATCCATTTTTTTTCCCCACTCTATGAAGTGGGAATAAGAATTTTTTCAGCTACTTGTACAGAAGCTAAAAGCCAGTCACACACACACAAAAAAAAAAACACCAAACCTACAGCAAGCTGTCTGCCCCTTGAATTTAAGTTTTACACAATTGCATTCTTCCCACTAGTAAAATATATGCATGACAGTAATCAGCATGCCAAATAACTTGATCCTCAGGACTTCAAGGAAGGACTGCTTCACACTGCTTCGGACATCGGCCAACAGTCCAAGCACCATACCTAATCTGTGAGAAACAAAGCAAATTCAGCCATCTTGTTCTCCACAGGACAATACTGTTCTAACAAGGAAACAAGATGAACAACATCACAGAGAAATCCTTTCTTTAACATTCATAAGGATATCCTACAACAGTGCTGTGTCACTCTAGAACCATGGCAGACTGGTACAGCTTCATACTACATCTGTCTCAATCTCAAGTTTTTAGAATCTGGCTATAATTTCCACACTCAACGAAATTACTAATTGCCTGCCTATTTCTTTATTATTTTATTTTTGTATTGCAGAATAGTAGAAATCCTTCTCTCACGCAGCTCCTACACATTTTCTAAAGAGGCTGTCCCCTTGCCATACTGTTTACAATGTTTCACTTCATTAATGGAGGAACTTAATTGATCAACAAGCCAAAAGCCAATTTCTTGTAACAAGGAATCAAGTATCAGAAGACCTGATTCTGCACTGCAAAATCCATCTTCTGGATGTCACTTTCATTTTTTGACTTGCCTTTAAGGGACAAAGTTTAGGAGGGAAAGGAAAAGAGAAGATACACATTCAGTAAATATAACTGTACTTCCCACAAGTCTTTAACCAAAAGGATTTGTCAAAGAAATGAAGCAAGTAATAAATATTTCTGCCTATGCCATTTTAATGCTACATCTGACCTAACCATTACTTCAAGAAGCATTCTGGTCATATTTACTTTAGTGGGAACATCAAAACTTTGATAAGACTCATCTTCATATGTAGAGCAAGATTTAAAAAAAATCTAAGAAATGCAATTTTCATGGCATCACATGAAGAACAGGTTGCATTCTCCGCCGCTGGATTTGTGCACAGAACAGCAGATACAATCAACTGAAAATTAAGGCTGCCTGTTCAAACCAATCTGAACAAAACCAAAGCATGTCACCCACAGCTACAGTGTGTTTTTATTTCAGAAACAGGATAGCCTCAGAGTCACAAGATACAAAGAACAAGACTACTTATTCTTCACATGCTGCCCTGAAATCACACAGCATAATGCACTTTCATCATTCGTATAAGCATCTGAAAAAACTCCAAACAAACATACTGCCTCACTAAGGAGGCTCACTGAAAGAATAATTTGGGGTAGAGTTTCACAGTTGGCTTAAGTTAATCTTTGGAAATCTACATGTACTTTCTGCACATACGCTCCCTGCCTCACCAGCTCTGTGACAACAACAGGTGTTCAGGTAGCTCCAGGTCACCCAGATCTTCTCTCTGCCTTTGGCAGAAACTAGGCTTTGTCACAATACAAAGCAGCAAGCTGACCCAGCTGACTCCTCAGCCGTGTGAACACTAGCGCCAGCAAGAATGAGCAGGTGGGAACATCCTGTTCTGCAAGGGCATGGCCAGCAACCAGCTGAACCCGACCACAATAATTTCAGTCTCAGCCAAGCTGAAAAATGACATCATTATCTCTAAACTTTATTTCACTAACAAAACAATAGAAATAAGACAATGCTTAGAGTAGTTACACTAACACCACTGCTGGTTACACTGAAAAGCATGGATTTCCCCCCTGTCCCTCCCACGTTTCTCAGTATTGTTTTATGTTTGGATTGTAAACACTTCTGGTTTTTTTTAAATCATGAAATGCTTCCCATAAAGCTCTTCATTTCTGTAGCAACACAGATTCACTAATATATCATGCCAAGTCTCCAAGAAACACTATACCTTCAAAGACTAAGCAGACTCAAACTAGTAGAACTCCTTCCCAACTGAGATCAGAACATGCATTAATCTTAGCACAGAACCTACTTACAGGTTGTGCAGTACAATCAGCAGCAGTGGTAATGGCCTTACACAAGTTCCTCAAAAAGGTCCAGAAAAAGAAAAACAATCAAGAACATGAAGGAACTTCTGAGGAGTTAACTGCAGTAAAAAAAAAAAAAAAAAAGTCAGTGAGTTTACCCTGAATTCCCATTTCCAGAGGCAGAGCAGCTCAAGCAAGCATTCCACCTGGATACGAAACTCTTAAGCCCTCACAGTTCCTGGGCAAGCACTTTGATGCAACTAAATATGTTCACTGCCAAAGCCACATTTGTCAGTTTTTATTTGCATCTTGCTCTCTGTTTAATTTCAGAAGGCTGGCAAACAGTTAATACATGTCGACAGATGGAAAGGAAGGAGAAGAGAGAGACTTCACTCACTAAAGGGCATCTCTGCCACCCACACCATACCTGGCAAAGAAGCTAACAAATTCTGGAAACAGACATGGCATCACATGCAGCAGAGAGAAAACCTAATGCTCCCAAGAGAAACAGCATCTGACTATGCTCTCACAAAACACTGAAACAAAGGTGAATTGAGGTGTTATTTACTGGTATCAGAGTTTTATTTACAGTGAACAAAGTACAGTGCTGAAGCAGAGTTACAATCTGTGGGAACACGACTTTTTTTCCCCTGCTTGGTGCAAGAAACAAGCAGTCTATTTGATTCCTGACAGCACAGCCAAAACCAGGGGATACATTAACTTGCAAAGCAAGTAGAAACCATTGCCACCTAAGCCCTCCATATTCACAGACATAAGAACCATGAATTGTATTGTTCACCACTACAGACACCTGGACTAGAAGACTACAATTACATGAGTTGTGCTGAACAAACATGGGATCTCCTGAAGTTGACACCAGGCTATCCAAAGCAGTGCGTGAATCTGCCAAGGAGAAATAAAGCTATTGAGCTGGCAATCATTCAAGTCCTAGAAAAGACACCTGAGAGACCAGAAGAGAGCAAACAATAAGGAATTTGGGTACCTTTGGGTTTTGTTTGTTTAAATAGCTTTCTGTATTCAGGGAATCAGATGTTTTTACTCAATTAACTTCACAATTAGCAAAAGAATTACGATACATAGATCTAAGGGATCAAAAGACACAGCAAAATGATGATTTGTGCTTCTTTCAGAAGCTGCTTTTATCCATCACCATTTCCTAAAATAAAGTAAAGGGAAGAAAAATCAACATTCAGAGTTCTCTCCTGTTGTAAGCTTGTTTTCTCCACAATCTCTTCTGTTTCTGAAAAGCATGAGTACAGCACACTAATTACAGACAGTATTATCTGAGACTTCCTGGTACCAGCCTTTGGTAATTGAGATGCCAAGATGACACACTATGAACATCTGCACATCTCAGAGGTTTGCCTGTTTCCTCATTTATTTTTCAAGAACTTTAAGAAGCCCATTGTATACATGATCAAAAAGATCTTTGCACTCCAGAAAATCCCACTTGACTTTTTTGACACTGGAATGCCTGTGTAAGTTCCGTAATAAAGTATCTAGGAAAGAAATTATGCACCTTTAATAAACTAAAATACATAATTTGACACAGTTGGCTGACCAACTACAAGCATTCAATGGAAGTCAGTAAAGTTTTTTCATACACACAAGCACACTCAGTGTGAATCTTAAAAAGTTGCCCAAAATAATAAAACAAATTACAATTCTTATTGAAAGTGCACAACTGTGAGTTCTACATTCTCTTCAGCTTTTAGACTGACCAGTACTGTCAAATAACTAAAAGCAAAGCCTGTCTCATGACAAGAGCTTTTGCTTTGTTTTGTGGTTTTTTTTTTTTTTTTTTTTTTTTTTTTTTTGTTATTACAATAGTGACTACCTCTGGCACAGCACAGCCAAAGGCAATTTATAAATTAACTGCTAGAAGCTCCCAGCGTCACATTCATGCTTTGATTCAAGTAACTGGTTTGGTTTAAATTTTTCTGTTGCATTAGCTTTAATTACAAGCAATGCCAGTGTAACTAATACCATTAAAGTTAACGAAGTTGTTATAAATTTACTCCCAACTTCAGTGCGTGAGAATAAGCAAAAGATACTCATCTTTATTATGTTACTTACTCAGGAGATGAGAGAGAAAAATCTTATAATTAGAGTGTCGTTTAACACTCCAGCTGTTGTAACACAAGCACAAAGCAACCAAACTAAAGTTATTACAGTATTCATAATTCGCATATAATCTTGTAATGACAAGGCTGACTTCTGTCATCAGCACAATGTCCATCCGTAATCCAAGTTCAGCTGCGGAAGCATATACCTCATTGCAGCGTATGCAGAAGGAACAACAGTATGGTTGAATCCCTCTTCAGTTCTCTGATTGTTTGGTCACAAACAATTTTCTGCAAGGTTGCGTTAACAATGCATTTGTCCATTCATCTATGCTGCAGAGGAATGGAACTACAGAAGTTACAGAACACAGCAAAACTGCTGCAGCGCTATAAAACCTGCAGTGATCTTGCTAGAATAAGCAAGATTTTGAGAGCCTGTGTTTTCGCAGCAGTCTTCTGTTCCATGAAGGGCGGGCAGCTGATCAGCAGAGGCAATGAGCACACATGGAGAAAGAAAGCAAAGAGATTCTGCTTCAGGATTACTCCTGCTACAACACTGTTTTGTCTACCCAGTTAGGCTTTGCTTCTTAGGAACTACTGCATGAAAGTCTCCTCCTGTGAGTAATTACAGAAAATTTGAAATGAAAAAAATATCGCTGTCCTTTGCAAGTCAGACCACAGAGCTTCCTCACAAGAAGTTATTACAGCAAAAAAAAAAAAAAAACAATCACGACAATTCATATACTTGGAAGATTGAAAACTGCTCAGTCTACACATTCCTTCCAAAATTTGATTTGTTTCAGTAGCACTAGACAACCTGCAAAGAACAACTTTTGGATTTTATGTTAATTCAATCAGAGCTTCCAATGTGAAATCATAGCCTTAGCTGAAAAGGCCAGGCTACTAACTCCAGCAGAGGCTACTAGTTAATATGTATGATCTCCTCCATTTATTAAATACATTATATCCCATTTTAATATTCCCTTATGTTTAAAATCCAAATCATCAGCTTAAGAGCCTGAGGAGCTTTCAGTGTTTGCTAATGCACAGGAAAATACACGAACATGAGAATATGTAAGCAAAGGAGATCTAAAGCAGAAAAAAAAAAATCATAAAGTAAACAAACAAAGGATAATCCCGAATACATTGAATTTGTTTTTAGATTTAGATAATTAGAACATCTCTATTTAGTCTGAAGAATACTGGGAGTTTAACAGCACTGTTAAACTCCAGGAGTTTAGTTCTGTAGTAGTTTCTCAGTCATCAGCAGAACAACACAAAAAACCAAAACACACTGAGGACGACACATAAAAACAGAGCCTCAACAGCATATTGTGCTAGATACCACATTATTTAGAAATCAGAGATACATTCATTAACCAACACCCCCCATCTGCAGCACAAGAAGAAAGATTCAACAGCATTGTTGCACTCCACTCTGAAAAAAAGGTAACTTAGCTCTGTGCAGATTAGAGAGGCTGTGTACAGATATAGGTCTCACAGTCTGGTTCATAGCCACATGCACAGAGCCATGTTTTCAAATGAGAATGGGCCACAGTTAAGCCTGGTTCTAGTTACTTCCTAATATTTTCCTTGGCAGTATACAGAGATTAAGAAAGACATCAGCATGAGAAAAGAAGCAAAAGAAGTGGCACTCACTGTGTTGCATTTTGTCCCGCACACCACTTGCCGGTGGTTCAGCCACTGGGAGGCAAACACTTTATTGAGGGTTCCGAGATGAAACTCCCTCTCCTTCAGGAGGCTGGGAAGCTGCTGGGCTGCATACCCGTGCAACAGGCGGTGGTAGCTGGACTCATTCTGCATCCAGACCTCCCTGCCTTTTAGGTAATACACCAGGGACCGCTTCACTGGAGGAAGCCGCTTTCTTTTGTGTACTGAATGATCCCATCCATACTGTAGAAAACAAACATGAAAATTAGATAGAAAAATGAAAAATAGTAGTCTTCTGAATTCAGATCAATTAAGTCTTCCAAACCATCCATAAAAATCATACAAGATCAACACAGAAGTGCTAATACAGCCTTTACTTCATAGAATTAAACACATTTCGCTTAGGAAGTGGCACTGCAGTGGTGCCACAGACACTGCCCACCAGTTCAGGACCGCTGAAGCACCGAATGCTAAAGGAAACACGAGAAACCTGAAAAAGAAACATTTTAAGCAGCTGAGAGCAGCCCCAGCCTCCTCCCCGGCCTCAGTTCCACCGCAGCGAAACACAACCACACGGGGCAGGGGCTGCTCGGTACCGACCGTGGCGTTCACAGCTCTCTTGCGGCCGAAGCCAGGCTCCGTCCGCTGCATGGCCTCGACCGGGGAGCTCGGCCCGGGACGCGGCCGTTACGGACACAACGGCCGAGCCCAGCGGGGCGGCGCGGGTTAGGCGGGAATCTGACAGCAGCGGGTGGGCGATGCCGCTCGGCCCGGTGCCGCCGGCTGTTCCCGCACCTCCGCCACCCCCCCCCGGCACACCGAGATCCCCCAAGCCCCATTTCCCCTTCCTTCAGTCCCTAGACCCGCAACCGGGCACCGACGCCCGCCGCTGGGGGTCCCCCCGCCCCACCCGTTGCCGCTGCCGGGGCTCACCGCGCCCCCGGGCTCAGTTCGCACCGCGCCCCGGCCTACCTGCTCCCCACAGAGCCCCCCGGGCCCCGCGGCGGACGCCGCCGCCGCTTTCCGCTTCCTGCTAACTGTTTTCCTGGCCATAGTAGAAGGAAAGTGAAGAAGAGAGGCCGAGAGCCCGGTCCGGACCCCACATGGAGCAGACGGAGCAGGCGGCCGCCAGGACACGGGGCATTAAGTGCCGGCAGCCGTGCCCGGCCGCTCACTCCGCCGCAGGCCCCTCCGGACCGCCCTTCACGACATTTCCCCCTTTTACGGCGGTCGCGTCGCAGCTTTACGGTAGCTCCCTCCGCCCCGCCCGGCAGCCCCGCGTCCCAGCACACGGACTGCCAGCGGGCACCGCCCCCTCTGCGGTTGCCAGGCGACGTGTTCCGAGCCCGAGCGACTCCCCCTAGTGGCGGCGGAGGATGAGGCCGGGAGAACGGTCCCGCTTTCCGCAGCGTCCGTCCGAAAGGATTCACCTCCTTCGCCCTGCGGCCCAGGATACGGTTGGCCTTTTGGGCTGTGAGCGCACAGTTGTCAAATTGTAGGATAGTTAAAGACCGCTGAGATCGTGTAGTCCAGTCGTCAACCCGTCACCTCCATACCACTCAACCACGTCCTTCAGTGCCACGTATGCCCTCCTCTCAAACACCTCCAGGGGTAGCTCAGGGATACCACTTCCGTGAGCAGTTTGTTCCAGTACTTATCACTCTTCATGCGATTAATTTTTTCCTAATATCCAACCCGAACCTTCCTTGGCACTACTTGAAGCCATTACTTCTTGTCCCACTGCTGGCTCATGCCCACCTTTCCATGCAACAGCGGGGCTGTGCTCTATTTTTTTTGGCAGGGCTGTGATCTATTGTTCTCCCAGTTTGTACTGATACTGGGGGTTGCCATGACCCAGGTGTGAGACCTTGCATTTGGCTTTGTTGAACTCCGCAGGATTCAACAAACTTGGTGCCATGACCCCTACCTGGGGTTCTACGACCGACTACCTTCTGATAAAGTGCCTTTTTCTAACACCCATCCTGACCCACTCCTGATGAAGGTCCACAACATTTCCTCAGGTCCTGCTCCACTCTGCACTGAACACAGTTTGTAATGCAGCCTGTGTGAAACCAGCCGCTGTGCTCAGGCCCTCTGTACACACTTGTATTTTCACCATAATTTAGAGCAAGAAATAACGCAGTCGATGTACACATTACCCAAGGGACACCCCTACAGCTGTGGGTTCATGAGGTGTGTGGCTTTTTCCATTTCAACATGTTATCTCCTAGCTACAAAGCATACAACAGTTCTTGTTTCAGATTTCAAGATGCTTTCACCATCCGGGAAAATAGGTCATCAATCTCTCCTTTGTACAGGTGGGAATACTGAAATAGACAGTTTCAGGCTGTAGGCTCCAAATGACTTAATGCACAGAGACAGTAACACTACTGAGAAAATTAAAAACAAAAGGGATTTGTGTTGTGAATGGTCTATCTTCAGTGGCATCTCCATGGATCAGTTCAACACTGGTTCCTACAAAGACAAATTACACAAACATTGAAGGGGAAGATTGTCAGACATTTACAATTTCATATACATTTGCCTTTTGGGATTCTATAAATAAACATAGCTGTTACACTAAAAATTTGTTTCGTGTGTATGCATGTTTTTCTCTGGCTTAAGATTTCAATACAAGACTAAGCTGGAAGGCTTTGTGTATGTCTTCCAAAATGTGGAAAGTCAGTAGGGCTGGGGATGTAACTGTCCCCTTGAACTCAGCACTGGAGTGGCCACAACTTGAGTACTGTGTTCATTTTTTGTCCCTCTCTACAAGAAAGACATTGAGGCTCTGAAGCATGTCCAAAGAAAGGCAATGAAGCTGTGAAGGGCCTGGAACACAATTCTTATGTGAAGCAGCTGAAGGAACTGAGATTCTGAGTCTTGAGGACTCTCAGAGGAGACTTTATAACTCTGTATTGCTCTTTGAGTGGGGATTGTAGTAAGTTGGGGTCAGCCTCTTCTCCCCAGTAACAGCGAGAGGACAAGAAATAATGGCCTTACAGAGGTTCTGATTGGAAATAAAGAAAAAAAAATTCTCAGAAAGAGCAGTCAGGCATTGGCAAGGGCTGCCCAGGGAGGTGGTGAAGTCGTTGTCCCTGGTGGAGATGTGGCACTGAGGGATGTGGTCTGGTGGTTAGGGTAGTAGGTAGTGGGGCTGGTGGTTGAACTAGATGATCTCAGAGGTCTTTTCCATCCTCAATGATCTTAGGAACGGCTTGCTTACTGTTTAAGGACATCTTTGAGGTTTAGGCAGATCTCACAAATATACTAAACAAGCTGTTACTGTTTAGTGCAGAATGGATATATTGCAAAACAAGCAACGTTGATAGTTAAGCATAGCAGAGGCACAGGCTCACTATTTCTTTAATTTTAAGCCTCTGAGCCTTGGCGGGTAATACCCAGGAAGTATGGGCAGGCTTTGACAGGCAGACCTTTTAATTATTGGCAGCCCTCTTAATTAACAAGTAGCTTGATGCCATCCAAGGTTCACGGAGGGCCCAGTGTGCTGTCGGCACTAGGAAGCACTTGGTCATCTCTACTTCCTCATGCTGCTTTAACACCGAGGTAAGTGCACAGAGCTCCTATGCACTTTTTGCTCTGCCTGCAGCAGCAGCAATTAGAACGGAAATAACCCAAACGCAGTAACCCAAAAGGAGTGAGGGAGGTGGGTGGGGCTGAGAGGAGCCACTTCTAAACCCCTCACACAGAACCGGCTAACTCAGTATTTCCCTGGCTAGTATTTATTTCCCGTTACCACCTAGAGAATCCAAGCGCCTCTAACAAAGCCTCGCGGGGCGTTGAGCCCCCTGACGCTGAAAGCCGCTCGGGCGAGAGCCCGCTCCGTCATCCCCACACAAGCACCGCCCCGCCCCGCCCCGCGGTGACGTCACCGAGGCTGCAGGTGACGCTGCGTCGTGACGTCAGCACGTCCCCGGGGCGGTGAGCAGGTACACAAGATGGCGGCGCCCGACGGCCGGACCGGAGAGGGCGGTGCGGTGCGGCTGGCGTAGGGCCGGGCGGTGGGCAGGGGCTGCGGGGACTATTGCGAGCCAGGGGCTGGCAGGTAACGAGCGGGCCTGGCGAGGGGAGGGGGGCGGCGGCGGCGGCGGCGGCGGCGAAGGCGTTTCACCATCCTAGGCCGGTGGGCTCCGGTTCCCTTCCTCCCGTCGAGAAGCTCCGGGCCGCGGCCCCTCCTCGGGCTCTCCGCTCTTCCGCCGTGCCGGGGCTCAGCCGCCGCTCCTTCTCGCCGTCCCGCTGTGATTCAGCAGCAGCGGGGCCTGGCCGCGCCGCGCTGGCGATGCTGGCGTAGGGCGGCTCCCAGGGCAGCGGGATCAGGCCCGGCGGTGGCTCCTCTCGGTGGCTCTCCGTAGTTCCGGCGCCTGTCCGAGTGCTTCCTCGCTGTGAATTTGCTTCCTCGGGGCTGTTCGAATTCGGGTAAAGGGTGTGTGCCTGCCGAGGGAAGGTAGCTTCCTCGCTGCGGTAACCAGATCTTGTGTGGAAGGTCCTTTTCTGGTTTGGATGGGCTGAGTGCTTATGTGGCTTTTGTCGAGTTTTCCTTTGGGTCGGTTTTTAATTTGTGGTGTCTGCATTGTGATAACCGTAACACTCAGCCCTCCCTTTGCTGTCATGTATCTGCTCTGTTCCCTCGAGTCTCTGCAGGCTGAAGAGCTGAAGTCTTGTTTATTGTATGGGTGATTGCTCTCTTTATCTCACTTTGTGCTCATTACCTGTTTCTGGCTCGTTTCCAGTTAGCTGTTCCTCTTCTGAGTTGAAAAGAGGGCTGCATGTTCTGTATTTGAGATGCGCGCATACCGTGGACGTATGCCATAGTGTAAGAATACTTCATTTTTGTAGTTTTTAACTTCCTGATAATGCCTTCTGTGCTGTTAGCTCGCATTCACTCAGACACTTTTTTAACACTTTGATGAAGGTACTTAATGTAACTTGAGGGTTGTTTTTCTGATCTTTGGTAGCCTAAAGTCTCTCATTTAAAAGGAAAGTTAGGATTGTTTCCTTGTAAGTAAGAGAAATTACAATTGTTGGAAGTGAGTAATTGTTTGATAAAGTATTTTTATTCCCCATATCACTTAAAATCCTAAACAAGACAAAAAAAAAAAAAAGCAGAAAAAACTGGAAAAATTCTGCCTCATTAGAGCAGAAATAAGCAGGTGGACTCTGGCACTTTGCTTCAGAACAGATGTAGCTGTTGTTTGGGATTTGATAGAAATACGGTTGTGAGAGATATAAGTACTTTGATGCGGATATTCATAGATAAGCATTGCCAAATTACAAACAGCTCTTCCTTCAGACTTCAGTGTCTTTGCTACTGATAGAAGGCACTGGCATCTCACAATTTGTTATTGGGTGAATAGGCTTTTGTGGGAGCTTGGCAGGGAGGAATCTATTCCAACTTGTGGTTAAGAGTGTGAAGGAAAAAGGAAGAAGTGGTTCTGCAGTTAGCTACCTGCCTCATCTTCCATGCCTCGTCATCCTTGGAGTGTGGAACTTTATCGTAATGCAGGCACTCCCATAACTGCTTACTTCCTTAAAGCTGGCCATACAGATCTGACCTCTTTGAGTTGCAGCAATATTTTTTTTTTTCTGAGGAAAAGGGGAAAAACATTTGTAGTGGACTGATGTATGCCAGGCTGTGTGCTGTATGTTGTTAGGGGAGCGTTTGTTTTCTGCAGTATGGCAGTGGTAGTGTTGCTGGATGACTTCAGCTTTTTTTCCGTAAAAACGGACTTGTAATTTGTAAGTGCCCCTGACACTTTAGAGCACTGCTGCAAAAGAGTGACTTAAATGTTTTAGACAATGTATTGATCCTAAGAATAGGGGAAGAGAAAATATAATCTTTAACTTCATTGTTGCTAGCTCATGGATTTGGTCTCAAAAGCAAAACTGAAAGTGATTGCACCTTTTTCTTCTCATTGCTGTATCTGGCCTGCAGTATTTTTTTCCTCTCCCGTGTATGCAATATGGAGCAAAGGAATCAGGACAGAAGTCACTTCTTAGAAAAAGAGATTTAACACAAGTAAAATGGAAGCTGAAACACAGTTACCTGGAACATCATGCAGAAAGCTGTGAAGTCTGAAGTATAAGATTTATGAATGAATAATGAGTAAATGTTATTTTCTCTTTATCAGAATTTCTCAGACTATTTTAATATGTTGTGCTGCTATTCAGCTATGAGATTTATTAATTTATTTGTTAGTTGATAGCTAGCAAAAACCTTAACGATTAGAAATTATCAAAGACACGTGGAAGAGCTCCATCTCCATTGTTCTAGTAGTACCTTGCAGAGCTCAATACTTGTTATCCAAAAGACAAAAGCCTTTCATTTGGAGAAGACCAGTCAGGTTTCAGGAGCAGCCCAGCAGGCCATCCCATCTAACATTGTCACATTGACAGCCTGAGCTGTTTTGCTCAGGCACTTTTGTGGCAAAAGTACAGAAATGCCGCAGTAGGCACTACCTTACTTGTTTTTAATTCCATTAGCTGATGGCTTTGTGGTGCTTACACAAACTTTAGTGACTTCAGGGCATTAAACAGTCCTGACACTACCCAATCTCCATGTCATAAGCTTTTTGTCATCAGCTTGTTCTGCATTTCACAGTTGGTAACAGCATGTATATTTTGATAAACTGATATGTGAGGAAATTTAGTTCTAATTTCTAATAGGAACTGCGATCCATTTTCTCTGTTATTTTGTTTCTTACATAATTTCTTGCAGTCTTTTCTTCTGTAAATTGCAGACCTGAAACTATGAAATCCTTACTTAAAGAATCTTCGCATAAAGGCATTATGGTCTACTTAAAATGGCCATTGAAATTCAAATCAGTGACAGTGTAAAAATGGTCTCATGGAGCTATAACTGAAAAGCTCTGAAATATGTTTTTGAAATGAGTTTTTTTAGAGGAAAGGGAACGATGGTTGTTTACAAGTTAAAAATAGCTTTCTGGTTTTAAAAAGTAGGTCTTCTGGGGTGTATCAGGGGGTGATTTATTTTCTCTGTATTGCTTACTTGTACTGGTAACATGGAAGGCAGTAGCATCTAATAGCATGTACTGGATCTAATAGCATGTACCACTCTACAGTCAATCTTTGCCCTTGAGGGGAGAGAAGGCCTTACAGAGAGATCTCGACAGATCAGAGCTGGACAGTCTCCAATAGCATGAAGCTCAACAAGAGCAACTGCTGGGCTCTGCACCCAGGAAGGGGCGGCCCTGGCTGCAGGTCCGGTCTGGGGGATGAGAGGCTGGAGAGCAGCGCTCAGAAAGGGGGGAAGGGTCTGGAGGGCAAGGTGTGTGCAGGGCAGCTGAGGGCCCTGGGTGTGCTGGGCACAGGGCGGAGGAGCGGAGGGGAGCCTGATGGCGGCTGCAGCTCCTGACAGGGAGCGGAGGGCAGCGCTGAGCTCTGCTGTGTGACAGCGACAGGGCCGAGGGAACGGCATGGAGCTGCGCCAGGGGAGGGCCGGGGGTGGGGAAGGGCTGTGCACCAGAGGGCGGTGGGCACGGAACGGCCTGCCCAGGGCAGCGGGCACGGCTGGAGCGCCAGGAGTGTTTTGTCAGTGCTCTCAGATACAGCATTTGAATTTGGGTGGTCCTGCATGGAGCCAGGAGTTGGTATCGACAGTTCACTTGGTTGCAGTCAATTTAGGCGTGCTCTGTGATTCTGTGCTTGGGATTGCTGTTGATCAATGCAAGCATGAGCTCGCTGTTTTTCTGTTAGCTACCTAAGTGGGTAATCACTTCTGGTATGCTAGCACTCTGCTTTATGCTTTGACCCTCTGGCTTGGTTTGAATAAGCTCATGTTCTGTTCCCCTAGTGACCTTTTACAGTCAGCATAGTCTTGATTGAGGCCTTCTAGAATAATCTGAGCAGTGTTTTTTTTCTTTTATTTCTCTCAAATGGCAAGTAATTCTAGATTTTTCTTACGTGGGTAAAGGAAAGTTTTCTTTAAATGCAGGAAAGTACTCCTTGAGGAAGGAACAGCTTGTATGTCTACATGAGCGTTTCTCTCGTCCTGAGGCTGTACGCCTTTTTCAGAAGTTTATGCCGTGCTTGCTTAAAACCTAGAAGTATACAAAGGAGTAACAGAGTAACAGTGCTGAAACTTAGTTTTAAATCCATAGAAGGGAAGGTTGATTCAAAATGTTCTGTTGTATCAATAGAATTACTTCTATACAGACTGAGTGCAAGCTGTGAATTCCCATTTGAAGTCTCTCAGTTGCATTCTGTGTGGAGAGCTTGGATCAGAGCAACTCTTAAATGGGAAAAACAGAGGATGAATCCTATACAGGAAGCAGTCAGTTCAAGTGGAAGATGGTCCTAATATGAATATACTTAAGCTGCCCAGGTAGTTAGATTTGAGGAAAGTAGTAATGAACTAAATTGTATTAGTTGTGAGCTCTCAGTCTCGGTTATGTTGCTGGAGGTCAGTATTCACCATAGCTATGTACTAGATCCTGTCAAATAATTGACTTAAGTCCTTTTCTGATTTACGTTTGTGCTGTTTGGCATCCTTGGGGTCACAGCAGATGAAGATGTGACTGGTAAGATTTATTCCCTCTCCTTTGGATGCTGGATTTCTAAGTGTCTCTGTATTGTCACTGTGCTGTGACAAGTGTTAGTGCTGTGCTTAATTGAGACATGGAGCTTGTGTGTTCAGTTTGATTTTTCTTCATCAACTTGACTCCAAAATCAAATTAGATTCATAGTTTACAAACGCTCTGTGAAGTTGTTGTCAGAGGATATGTCTTTCCTTTTCCAATACAGCAGAGCTATCTTGGGTTCCACCCTAATGACTAATGCTGTCATGTGGCATCTTTGTACAGTAATGTATAATAATTTGAAAAAGAAATAAAGGAGTTCCTTCTAAATGGGAGAGGAATTTCTAATAATAAAATCACTGTTAATTATCTGGGATAAAATTTGGTGGTGAAAAAGCATAGAGAAGCTTTATCGTCTGTGTAGTCTGTGACAGGAATGTTCATAATCTTGTAATTGTTAGATCAGCACAAGCCATTTGTTTCTAGAGTGTTTGTCTTCTTGGTTTAAAAA